ATCCAGCTAGGGTCCGTGCAGGTAGCAAAAGTAATGTTAGTCCCCATGGTTCCTAGTATGGTGATCCAACTTCAGTTGTTGGCGATCAATAGCCCGTGCTTTATATTGTATTGTCTGCTTTAATGTAAATGTTTTAGTTTTCCAAGCTAGTTTTATATCCATATCTGTGATACTCTAGTTATTTTACAGTCCGTCGATGACTGTTTTTTTTTACCTACTTGTATTTATTGTGTATGCCCAACATTTCTCGTCACTATATGGCTGAAATATTGCCGAGGTGACGTTAAATTTTAACTCACTCACTCACTCACAGTAGAAGCAGATCTCTTCTTTTACCCAGCTGAGCCCCGACTAGTCACAGCCGACTGCACCTGAAACATACTCGGCGAATCACCTGCGTTATGAATTACAGCAATAGCTAACAACATACGGTTACCGGCGTTATCTCCGGATTTATCACCAGTGACTTGAGATGATTTCCTCACCCGATCCATGGCACGTTTAAAAACGTAATACAAATAACGATTAAATTGCCAATCTAGTAAATTAATGCAACATTTGCAACGCAAGCTGGAAGAACATGGATTAATACATGACGGACATTTGGGGTGAAGATCAGCTGATAATAACCGGTACCTGCAATCACTGCAAGGTTTCATCAAATGTAAACAAACTACATTATGATGAGAAAAAGTGACAAAATATGAATCTTTTTTTCAAAATAGTGGTGTACAATTAAGTTAAATACAACCAGAAACAATACACAACTTAATTTGGATAAAAGGATCTAAATATTAAAGGATATGGTGCCGTATACGGGACTCCAGTGCTCGCCCAACCATCCGCTTGGGCGATGAAGGAGTGACAAGCAAGGTAGGTCACATAACTGTTTGAGCGGGAAAAGGGAGGCAACTCGTGGGTGAGTGAACTTTTACGTCCTCTTCGGGAACTTCAAGGCATTCAAGTGTTCCACTACCATTTGCAAGGGGAAGGAGATAAGCATATAAGCATGAGTCGGGATAAGGAAAAATTTTACTATTTCAATGTAAACTCCAGACCTATTGTTGTGAAACTTTCATGTCACATAAGCTGAGCAACAAAAATTTAAAAAGAAATACTGTCTGAGATAATATCTAAATATAAGTTGAGATACAATTTCTGGCTAGCTGTTGAAATTAGCAGCTACATTATCAAATGTAGGTATTGACAGGATTTCTTCAATCAAATACAAACTTCATCACGCACTTGCTGACACTTCCAAAGATTTGACTAGACTAAACAAGAAAAAATGAAACACGTAACTATCTCTTAAACCCTTAACTGTATCGGGATCCAACAATAAATATAATACTACCAGAAAATAACACTAGCTTTAGCAGTAACAGGTAACATCATACGATATTTTTATATTTTTAGGAGTAATAATAAAGAGTATTGTGAGTGATTAATTTAAGGTATTGTCATCAGTATTCCAGCCACACAATGACAGCCTGTAAATAATCATGTCTGGATATGCAAAAGAGTGGTTAATAGTATGAGCAACTATCCATGCAGTCAGGGTTTGAATGGCACATACCTAGGTAGATCACATGATATAAAAAAAACTATATTCATTTTAATTGTTTCTTACAAACATAAGATAGTGGGATATTCGATTATGATCAATATATACTCTCCCCAAAAAGAAACGCATATAGAAATTTCAACTGTATTTTTATGTTTATTTTGAAACATCTTGTAGGCTTTATGAGTCAATTAAATATAGCGAAATGGCACACTGGGAATGCAGACTTATCCGTCTTTGGCACCAACTCGAGGAAAGTCAGTTTGAGTGTCACATGGAGACGTGTAGTGGCGCTGAAGTCAATACCTCGTGTGACCACCGTGGGCATCCAGAACTGCACGGCATCGCCTCGGCATCGAACGAATAAGTCTCAGAATCTCGTGTTGTCCTATCGCAGCCCACTCTGCCTGTAATGCCTGTGCGAGTTGCTGAAGTGTCTGGGGCTGAGGGTTACGGCGTCGCACCCGTCTGTCCAGGGCATCCCACAGATGTTCGATCGGGTTTAAGTCCGGTGATCTTGAGGGCCAGGGGAGCACATTGATGTTGTGCTTCTGGAGGAAGTCTCTAGTGTGACGTGCTGTGTGGGGCCTGGCATTGTCCTGTTGAAACAACTCCCTCTGGCGATCTATGATTGGAAGGAGGTGTGGGCGTAGGATTTCGTCACAGTACCGTTGAGCTGTCAGGTTGCCCTGGATCATCACCAAATCACTTCTCCTACGGCAGGTGATCTCTCCCTACATCATAACACTGTCCCGGCCGAATCTGTCCACCTGGGGAACGCAAGCGTCGGCGAAACGTTCACGTCGACGTCTGTACACCCGCATTCTTCCATCGTGTCGTTCCAATAGAAATCGTGATTCATCACTGAACCAGATTCTACGCCAATTCGGTAGATTCCAGGCCTGAACGTTGGTGCACCATTGAACTCGATGTCGACGATGTTGTTGTCGAAGCACAGGGCCAAAATAAGGTCTTCTGGCACGTAAACCAGCCTCTCTCAACCTGTTCCTGACGGTCTGTGCAGAAAGCCTCCTCCTCAATCCGGGTATTTGTGGAGCGGTACTGGTCGCCGTAGCTGTTCGATGACGCAGGTGATGTACCCGGATGTAGCGAGTGGTCGCTGGAGGTCGCCCACTACGAGGGGCATCTGCTACCGCATTCTGCATATATATATATTCACCATATTCCGCATATCTCTCCCAGAGCCGTGAAATGGTGCTTTGGTGAACATTCATGCGTCGGGCAACTGCACGTTGAGATTGGCCAGCTTCAAGCAAACCAATGGCGATATGACGGTCGGCTTTTAAATGTGGCATTTTGCGTTCGTCAACAATATTCCAAATACAGTGACTAATCGACAGCTAGCGATCAACCTTTTATACCCATCATTGAGACTATCTGATCTCCAGCTTTCACGTGCACTGCATGTGAATTGTGTATTCTGTGAAACTACACGCCGAAATTGAAAATCATGCTGTTAAATATGGGTATTTTACGGATGGTGCGTTTTGTTGTGATGTTTCAAAACATAAACACCATAGGACTCATAAACTGAGCAAAACCTTTTGCAAAATGAATCACGTTTTAATTCATAGCTACATGAAATTGTTATTTTCATGATGCGTTTCTTTTTTGGGAGAGTATAGTTGAAGTCAGATGTGAGAGAGGTACTGTGATGTGCCAGAAGTATTGCAACAATCACAGCTGCAAATATAAACAAAGTGACATTGGGACGACATATTTTGTCCAAATATATTTTTGGATGTGCTTCATCACTTGACGAAACTTTGATGACTTCACATGCTGTGTATACAGTTCTGTGCGTAACAGATGACTCAATGGGGTGTTTGTCGGTTATAACTTGTACCAGTTGAAGGCAATATTAACTGAACAAAGTATATTGACATACTTGAGTCAAGTTTTGAGGCCTTTTGTTGTCAAAGAATTTTGGGACTGAGTCCTGGAATCAATGTCATGGTCAGATGAAGAAGGTGTCACCATCAATGACGAGGTCAGATGGAGAAGGTGTCACCATCAATGACGAGGTCAGATGAAGAAGATGTCACCATCAATGACGAGGTCAGATGGAGAAGGTGTCACCATCAATGACGAGGTCAGATGAAGAAGATGTCACCATCAATGACGAGGTCAGATGGAGAAGGTGTCACCATCAATGACGAGGTCAGATGAAGAAGGTGTCACCATCAATGACGAGGTCATATGAAGAAGGTGTCACCATCAATGACGAGGTCAGATGAAGAAGGTGTCACCATCAATGACGAGGTCAGATGAAGAAGGTGTCACCATCAATGACGAGGTCAGATGAAGAAGGTGTCACCATCAATGACGAGGTCAGATTAAGAAGGTGTCACCATCAATGACGAGGTCAGATGAAGAAAGTGTCACCATCAATGACGAGGTCGGATGGAGAATGTGTCACCATCAATGACGAGGCCAGATGGAGAAGGTGTCACCATCAATGACGAGGTCAGATGGAGAAGGTGTCACCATCAATGACGAAGTCAGATGGAACAAAGATTCCAATATTTATCATTAATGGTCTCACACATGTTCTATAAAGTTATCTGAAGAAACCATCACAAACCAATGTATTTAACAAACATTACCATTAAAAACAATGATGTTGCCTGTTAAATGTACCCAAGTTCAGCAGGCCCTAGAGCATACTGGTAACCCCACGAATTTATATCAATGTGTTTTCCTGTTTTAAATCAGTCCCCCATGCATCATATCAGATATGTATGTCAGACAGATCTACATCATTTGAGCAAAGACAGGACAAACGTACCATCCAATATGCCTATGTGACCATATCAAACTGTCGATGTTAATGTCAGGATCGCATGAAAACTACTTTCAGGGTTCAAGTCATGAAAAAAGTGTCCAAACTGTCAAGGTCACATGATGATTGTGTCACCATCAATGACGAGGTCCTATGAAGATGTGGTCCACATTTGCTACAGTGATGTCCTGATGGCCGACTCAGCATCAATATTGAGGTCAGCCAGTAAGTCTCATTATCAATGCATGCGTCAAAAACACACTTAACATACTTGTGCAGGTCCAGAAGGTACCATCAATGTAATTGTCAAGTTTGGTTTTATTGATGATATCAGTCAGACTGTATGAAAACTTGTGAAAGTGTCTTGAGAAAAGATAATGAAGGTCTTAAAGACTGTGTTAAAACGTGAGGTCGTATATGTTTCACATCTTGAATATGTTTGTTGGTTAGGAGAAAATTTCATAATCAATAGAGAGTGTAGGCTGACTTGTAAAGTCAAATACTGGTACTAAAATCTGGGGGAAAAGTATATCAACATGGTGTCAAGTTTTACCAATAGATATATATTAAAGATACGTGAATAATCAATTCATCCATATATGACTAAATTTAAGCAAGATTTGAACTACTTACTCTGTTTATGGTGAGATCTGTACACTGGAGGGTATACTCAAACACAGTATTGTCGTCAAGTGAGTCTGGACGATCACCCTAAAGTCAAGAATATATATCATATATAACACCTGTTCTTGTTCTCCAAAGCACTGTTAGTTATAGAATGGTCACAAATCGATGTTAAAGTATTACTGCAATACTATATCTGTGAAAATCAGAGACTCAAACAATGAGAACATGAAATCTTCATGTGACCAATGGACAACTGAGATAAGTCCAAGAGAAACATGTGATTTGTGCCTTAAATTCACTAGTACATGTTGTAGTAACAAAAAGGTTTCTCATTTTTCAAAATGAACAATAATTACTGCACACACAAAAATATTAGCGCTGGAAATACAGAAGGTGAAAGTCACAACATACATCTCTGTCAATGGGTTTCTTCAGCCTCAGGAACCATTCCCTTCCAGTTACGCTGCCACTTCGAGGACCAGACTCCAGAGCAAAGTACTCCGCAGGAGGAAGCTGAGCATTATTATTAGCATCAAACTGAAGCCCAATGCTCTGTGTAGTGCCTGCCAGTCCAAGTCCAGCTCTGTATTCATTTGGTGAAGCTGAAATAAAAACAATGTTTGCTACCTCAATCTTGTTTTAAGGTTACGTTTTTTGACTCTGTGTTTATGAAACAGATTCTCCCCTTTTTCTATGTAAGGAAATAGTGATTTTGTTTTATTATATAGTGGATGTTCATAGTCAGAGTACAAATCATATTAAACAAGCACACAATCATCTTATACTACTACTGGGTTTATGTACAACTTACCATCAATTGTTGCCTTATTATCTACTTCATTTATAGACACCCTCAAGGTTCCCACAGCAGATGCATCTTGGCAAGTGTCTACAAACAAATAATACACATATCACTCACATTATCACAACGTACTTGCATCCATTCCTACCATTTATATTCCTTACATAAATTTTAAATATATAATCTAATACCATGAATGTCCTTGCCATTCATCAATGAGGCATTGTTCCAATTCCTCCTCCAAAGTTGACTGGAGGCACAGGGTGATTTCTGAGTTGGCAATCGAGATGGTCCCATAAGTGTTCGATTTGGTTCATATCCGGTGAATAAGCTGCCAATGGTAAAACCTGACTGTTGGCGTTGGCGAGGAAGTTCTGAGTCAGCCTTGCCGTATGTGGTCTCGCATTATCGTGCTGATTCCACGAGGCTGTTGTTGAATGAATTCCCCACAAGTGTTGTACAATTTCATCTCGATAACGCTGTGCATTCAGGTTTCCCCGAATAACAACAAGCTTCGTTTTGGCGTCACCGCAGATTCCACCCCAAACCATTAAACCTCCGCCTCCAAATGGCCGGACTTGATGAATGCAATTCTGTTACAAACGTTCACCAATTCTTCGGTACACACGCTGTCGACCATCGCCCCTGAAGATGCAAAATCTGCTCTCGTCGAAAACCCGTGCCCAGTCCAAGTTGTCTGGCCCATACTAGTCTGTTGGCTATTGTTGTTGAGGTGTCAGGAACGCTCCGAGGTAGGGACGGCGTGCTTGGATACCATGTGCCTGCAACCTCCTGTACACGGTTTGTCGAACTTATCACTTGTCCCAGTGCCGCCGCGCAATGAAACGGTTCAGGAAATGAAGTACTCGGATGTGACGGTCTTCAATAGGCGTGGTCACCCGTTGTCTCCCGCTTCCTGGCCTATCTCTTGTCCAACCTGTTTGACGCAACCGCTGGCGCATCCTAACCGTCTCGTGATCTCGGTGTGCGTTGCTCCTGGTTGGACCATTCCAACATCCAATGCAGACAGCCAAGATCTTCAAGATGCACATTATGTAGTCTCAGAACAGCAAACTGTGTATGTTCCAAACAGTTTATAAGTCAATAATCAACACCAAGAAACCATATCTATGGATTACAAAATCACCAACTACAGTAATGATGTTATGCATTGGAACAAAACAATGATTAATGTTCGATGGTAAATTTCAAGCCAATTGCCAGAACTAGTTTCGAACATCTTTCTCGGTGTAAAATTCCTTTCTTTCTTCTGTACTTTTCGATCTATAGAATCTAATCTCAGAAGCTGCTCTAGGGCAAATCTGATTAATCCGTATCTTATAAAACCAAGGTATATTGAAGTACTGCACTAATATTAATAGTATACTTACTGTAAAAATTGACTTCGTAAAAACAGATTATTTCACCTAACTTCTCGCAACTACAGTGATGATGTTATGTGTTGGAACAAAACAATGACTAAAGGTCATTGCCAGCACTATTATCAAACATCTTTCTCGGTGTAAATTTTTTTTCTTTCTTCTGTACTTTCTAATCTATAGAAACTAATTTCAGAAGCTGCTCTAGGGCAAATCTGATTAATCCGTATCTTATAAAACCAAGGTATATTGAAGTACTGCACGAATATTAATAGTATACTTACTGTAAAAATTGACTTGCTGTTGTGATATTTGTATACATGTCAGCAGGATTAGGACACAGGTCAGCATAACCGGTGCCTGTGCTGACGGCGTTGTCGCCATCTTGTGTGTCTCCCTTGGAGCTGAGGTGGAGGTAGCTGCAACAGATTCTATAATACAATTCCTGATCCTATTTCATGGTCTGTCATGTGGTAAATAAACCAATATCTGGATAAACAAATTTGTACGTAACATAATGTCTTTCGCTGAATCATGATATTGGTTTATCTGAAAAGCATCTACAATACCTGCAAAGTGATCTAAATAGTCAAGTAAGGTAGACATGCTATTCACATTAGATTATTTCGTTTCACGCCAAATTACATAAATATCCAACTATCTATTAACATACTAAGGTTAGAGTGGTAAACGCAGTGAATGATATAAAGAATATACAAGGTATTGTGTCTACTGTTATCAAATCCTTCAAAAGGGACCTATCTATGTCCTTTCTAAGCTCAAAATCACTATGTATATTTTCACAATATTCTAAACAATGAGATAATGTAATAACCGATTTAAGTCATCGTTTTAGCAAAATACCCCAATCCTTGCGTGCATTCTGATTGGTTTGTCGTGTTTTCGCGCATAACATTCATCGATCGGGGTGCGATCGGGGTATACTGAAGTCTGACGCTTCTGGGGATCTTCATATTTTATCAGCCTATTCATTATAAAATTGTCCACGGGTATAGAGTCAAAGTTACATGCCAGTTCTGACTAGTTGTAGGCACAAAGTACACTAAATCATGATTGGACTCTCCACGAATTCTTAAGTTTCATATATATTTTTAAGTAATTTCTGTGGATCTATTTTGAGACTTATTACAGCTTTTCATAGCCTGTTCATGAAAACAGTCCTATTTGCGATTCTTGTATCGTATTCAGCTGGAAATAATTACATGAGAACATGTTTTACACGAATAATTGTCGGGTTGAAATCTTTTAAAGCTGCATTATTCTTTTTTACTGTTGGAATTAATTAGAAATGGATTCTTCGTTCTTGTTTGAAGTAGTTCTAATGTTAATACGGCAATATGAAATCCTTCCACACATTCGTCACCACTTGCCCTTATCGATGCTTGCTATGTGCGAAAATACGACAAACCAATCAGAACGCGCGTAATGCTTTGATAAAAATAATCCCGACTACTTAAATCGTTTATGGCATTATGCCATTGTTTAAAAAGTCATGGAAAATATATATCGTCATACTGAAAGTACAAAGAACATGGCCAACAGGCTTTTGCTGCCTATTATGAAGTTTTTAATAAGAATCATGCGATTGACGGTGAGAGAGATTCAAATACACGCGCGTGCGTTTGTTGACATAACGGCTCTCACTGGTCCAACTGAGCGTATTTCTGGTGATCTTGCGGGCTTGGTATGGAGATTGTACGTGCGCTTCCAACAATTTTAGGAAACGTAATTATAAATTGCTTCGAGTTTCAAAATAATAATATTATATTTGTATGTAACTAATCAACTTTAATCTCTAACATTGGGCGTGTGTTTCACTTTTCTGGGGATGTGTTAGTCTGACTTTGTTTGGTCAGTCATGTTTTTTTCCACCAGGGGTGTGACAGCAAGGTTACACGAATGTTCAGTTTGAGAAACATCTGCTTTGGGACTTGATGTCGATGAAAAAAAAAAATTATATATTATTAGTATATTCAGTATAACAATACCCATTTGTGATTATTAAACCCTATTTTGAAAATTAATATGCCTGGAAATATAAGGTGAACATAATTACATTAGAATATGTCTTTAATAAATATGTTTTTCAGAAACTTTGTTAGTAAGTCTATTACCAGTCTCATGTCTGATACAGGTGAAATCATCACTGATGGAAAACGTATATTAGATAAACAAAAGGCCTTTATCAGGATTTATTTTCTGAACAAGATTGTATCGATGACCATAAAGGTGCACAGACGTTATCAGACATGAACACCCCCTGTCCTTCCAAAACCTTTACAAATTCAACTGGAAAAGCCTATTAATACCAGTGAAATTCTTAAAGCAGTTAAATCAATGAAAAATAAGTCCAGACATTGACGGCTATTCAGTAGAGCTCTTTAAAAGATTTTGGCTGGATTTGGGAAAGTGAATTCTTCGATACATAAATCAATCATTTCAAAATGATCACTTGACTTTGACTATGAATAGGGGTGTCATAACTTGCATACCTAAACAAGGAAATGATAAAAAAATATTTGAAGAACTGGCGCCCTATATCTTTGTTAAATGCCATTTATAAGATTATAAGTACATGTATCACTAATAGACTGAAAGTTACACTTGACCATCTGATACAGGAAAATCAAAGAGGCTTCATTCCTGGTAGATGTATCAGTGAAAATATAAGACTGTTATATGATATCATGTTTGAAACTAGAAAACAAAAAAAGAATGGCCTTTTACTATGAATTGATTTTGAAAAAGGTTTTGACACAGTTTCAAAAACATTTGTTAGCAAGGTTTTACAAAAGTTTGGATTTGGTCCATACATGCTGAAATGGATATCTATACTAACGAAAAATGCTACCTCCTGCATTATCCAAAATGGACATCTATCCGAATTCTTTCCTAATAATAGAGGCTGTGGGCAGGGGGACCCCATCTCGCCATATCTATTTTTGTTTGTAGCAGAGATCCTAGGTATCATGATTCGTGCAAATGTAAGTGTTAAGGTTATTATCTTGAATAGCAAGGATTATAAGCTAGGTCAATATGCTGACGACACCCAGCTCTTTCTGGAGGGCTCCGATGTCAGCCTGAAGGCTGCTATGGATACTCTCTCTCTCTCTTCTATCGCATGTCAGGATTAAAAATAAATATAGACAAGACAAAAGCCCTGTGGATTGGAGCTATGGCTAACAGTACAGATATAATATGTAGTGCATATGGCCTGGACTGGCACTTAGGGAACTTTGAGGTTTTGGGTATTGTTTTAAATGCTGATTTGAATGGCCTGTGGCTGATCAACACCAGGAAAAGGCTATAAGTTATATCAAACATTCTTGGGATTTGGCGAAAAAGGAAGTTGACTATTACTGGGAAGATAACTGTAATTAAGACCTTGGCTGTTACTACTTTAGTACACATTTTCACATCACTCCCTAATCCTAAGATGAAATTGATTGACAAAAATATTTGTACATTTTGCAAATCAGAACCAGAGGATATTATCCATGTTTTTGTATCGTGTGAACATGTACAGATGTTCTGGAGTGAACTAAGGATTTTTATTAAAAACACTTTTAGCATTGACATTGTACTCTCAGATTTCACAATCCTGTTGGGACTTAACACTGGCTATGATTTTATTAACAACATTATTCTCGCTGGGAAACGATTCATATATATCTCAAGTATAAACAACAGACGGCTGCAAATGTCAGGATTTCTGAAAATAATACAGACTATTGTATTTGTCGAAAAATACATAGCTAAGAAAAACAACAGGCTTAACAAATTTCACAAAAAAAGGCTTCATAGCTTTATTTCGAACTTTGAAAATCTGCAAGTCTCTGGGCCAATAAATAATTCGCTCCAACATGCCTACGACCGATGAGTTTGTTGCTGGAGGTTTGCACTTGGTCTTTCTATACCAATCCTTGCAAACTTTGAAATTAATAATTCTGTTGTCAGCGATAACCAGGTTTTAACATCTTATAAATATCCTATAATAATAATAAGAAGAAGAAGAAGAACAACAACAACAACGATAAGAATATTAATTACTCAACATGCAGGTAACCCATGAGCTTGTCGCTGCAGTCATGTACTCCCCGACTTATGTACCTATACTTTCACGCTCTGAAAATTTGTAACTTGTTGTTGCCAATGTATAACCAGCTCCAAGTGCCTTACCTATGGAGTTTGCAACTGGAATAGTGTACTCCCTGATTTTGTATACCTTTATTATCACACTTTGAAAATTTGAACTCTTTGTTGCTGATGTATAACCAGCTCTTACATGCCCATAACCCAGAGAGTCTGTTGCTGGAGTGATGCACTCCCTGACTTTGTGTACCTATGTTTTCATACTTCGAAAGTAGTAAACCTTTGTTGCTGGTGTATGACTAGCCAGAACATGCCTGTAACCCGTGGAGTCGGTTGCTTGAGTGGTTCGCTCCCTGACTTTATGTACCTATGTTTTCATACTTCGAAATAAGTAACTTTGTTGCGGATGTATAACTAGCTAGAACATGCCTGTAACCCATGGAATCTGTTGCTGGAGTGGTGCACTGCCTGACATTGTGTACCTATGTTTTCATACTTCGAAATTAGTAAATCTTGTTGCTGATGTATAATTAGCTAGAACATGCCTGTAACCCGTGGAGTCTGTTGCTGGAGTGGTGCACACTCTGACTTTGTGTACCTATGTTTCCACACTTCGAAATTGCTAAATCTTTGTTGCTGATGTATAACTAACTAGAACATGCCTGTAACCCATGAAGTTTGCTGCTGGAGTTATGCACTCCCTGACTTTGTATACTAGTAACTATATTTTCCTACTTTGAAAATTTGTAACTCTTTGTTGCCAAAATGTATCCAGCCCTAACATTGAGTTGTGTACCCCCTGTGTTTGTATACCTATCTGAAATGAATAAAAATATTGAAAAAATATATATATATATGTTGTTTCAAAGAAGTTTGATTCTTTAAAATAAATTTGTAAAAACAACAAAATATCAAACAACAACAATCATACAATGTACGAGTACTTTGGTGATATTAAGAAACACTGGAATCAAACACGCATAGAGTTATCGTTCTTGTTTAAAGTAGTTCTGATGTTCCTACGCCAATAAGAAATCCTTCCAGAGGAGCACGAGTCGCTATTCGGTATTTTCCCATAAGACAGACCGCTTAAAACAACACATTTTATGGTTGGTTGCATAAGGCTAAATTAAGCTGTACCCTTGATAACAATGGTATGTGCCCAGATGAAAAAGACAACATTAGGTATTGATTATAGTTTTATCAATTCATGTGATGTATTTTTAAATTCAGACATATTGCATCAACATATATGTACATCAACATATATTTGCACATTTGCTTGTGAATATTATCAAAACAAATAATTTATATACATGTACCTTATCAAACATATGAGACCAAGCACCATATTATTTTACATCACATGTTTGTCAGTGCACAGATAACACTTAGAAAGTCACTTGAACATCATCATTTTATCCTTTCACTTTGTTCTTGGCATAGAAGTAGCCATCTAGAAGGGTGATCGGAAAAAAGTCTTAGGAAATAAGTCATGTGAAAAAATAACTAATATATTATAAAACATCCTGTTCTCCAGTTATATACTTTGTGTATACTGAATTTTATAAATACTATTTCACCTTCATCTTCAAATCATCTTAAGTAATAAAAACATCCTGTTCTCCAGTTATATACTTTGTGTATACTGAATTTTATAAATACTATTTCACCTTCATCTTCAAATCATCTTAAGTAATAAAAACATCCTGTTCTCCAGTTATATACTTTGTGTATACTGAATTTTATAAATACTATTTCACCTTCATCTTCAAATCATCTTAAGTAATAAAAACATCCTGTTCTCCAGTTATTTGCAAAAACTAATTTAACAACTGTTAAAAAATCAATTTCTTCCCCAATATTTCTGTAAACATCCTACTATTGAAAACATTGTTTCTCTAATGAAATGTGATTATTCACCACTTAACTCTAAAGTTGCCAAATTTATCAAAACTGGACTTTGTTCAATGTTTTAATATGGATCAATATGCTGTATGTTCTCTGTGTCACTAATATCTTACTATACTCTGTAGTGACTCTGGGTCAGCTCATTAATTAAATAGGGATGGACAGCATGGCTCAGCTTATTAGTGTGCTCATTGAGTCTGTCTTATGAGTGGTCTGTCTTTTGGGAGGTCTGTCTTTTGGGAGTGAACCCGCTATTCGGCTTGTCCCGGATTAACACGAGTTAGTCACGAATGCCTTCCTCAGAGGCACGAGTCGCTCGCTATTCGGCTTGTGGCGGAATAACACGAGTGGGTCACGAATGGGAAATATGTCGAGCAAAACATGTGACGGTGCGATGTAATTTCCATTATGACCATCACTTTAATGTTTCAAATTACACAATAATTACTTCATTTATTGCAAGGAAGACTCTCATGAACCTCCACGCATAGCGTGTACGCGATATAGCCAATAATGTGTGGGGATATGTTTATTTCCTTGTTGCCAGGGACGACCAGCAGGAGAGGGTTGAGGGGGAGAGTGGATGATGATTTTTATGGAGAAGCATGTGTTATCGTGCTAAAATTAAGCAAATATATATAAAATATATTTGATTAATTTAGCTTTATTGTAAATATACTGAGTCAAAAAAGAAACTTCACATTCTTTCTTCAGGGCACTATAAAAGAACAAGAGATGGTAAGATGGTTAAATTGTTATTATTTCATTGCTGAGATCTGTGTGATGTACTCGATACACTGACAGTGCCATAATCAGTACCATTAGGCTACACCGCCGTTCCAAAACATGGGTATACAGAATGTCAAGTCACAATATGGACGTCGAGAATGGAGACTGACAGCCCGCAACCGATTTCGAGTGGTCTGTGAGGACAGTCGACCTCTAAACATCTCAGCCCTGGTTCGTGTAGCCGGCAGAAATCTGTCACGTAGGTGACGTAGGACGATTTTGACGGTCTTCTGCTCGTGACGTCACACGTGGACGACCCGACCTTGGGCGATCAGAAGTGGTGCCAGTTTGTTGTAGACGACCTCGCAAGTCATACACAGTACGACGGCTGCATCCCATTGCTCTTGCGACGTCAATAACTAATCTTCCCACTTGCAACATGCCAACGGCACGTTCACGTTGCACATTTGACAATCGTGGCATTTCAAGTACCGTTAGAACTGTGGTTTAAAAGTGTTTTTTCAATTCTTGAGGCCAATGCAAACACGTGCATATGAAGAAAACTTCGATGCGAAGATCACGTGATCGACTGCACGTGCAAAACCTGATTTGGCACTAACGAATAGATGGGTTTGAGTGGGTTTTGCTAACGTTTTTCTAGAGTCGAAAGATAGGGATCCCATTTCGGATACATAGATGTATCATCAGAGAAAAATTATTCTTTATTTTTCAAATTACATTTTGTGAAGTTTCTTTTCACAATCCAGTGATCAACAGCATGCGCATCGATCTGCGCAATTGGGAACCGATGACATGTGTCAACCAAGTCAGCGAAACTGACCACCCGATCCCGTTAGTCGCCTCTTACGACAAGCATAGTCGCCTTTTATGGCAAGCACATGGGTTGCTTAAGACCTATTCTACCCCGGATCTTCACGGGTCTTGTACGCAGTGATCGCTTTGATCGCTTTAGGCAAACATGTCACTGCACAGAAAATCTATGCTTGCACTGCGGTGCAATAAAATGTGAAAAGTCAGCGGGGCTATTGTGCACAGGTAACTCTTCCCTCCGGTCATCACTGTCTATACAATGGACATAGGCAGTTAAAACAATGCGAGCTGGTCATCTTGAATGGAAACTGTGTGCGTGGCACGAGATAACAAATCACTGTGTTCCGGGTTAAGGGGTATATATGGAGGGCAGGTGTAGGTCCTAACCATCACTTGCACTCCAGAAATAAACGGATCACGTCACAATTCTGTGCTCACGGTTTCCTTCTCTATTCAAGGTAAGCAGCTCACTAATTCTTATTGATGTATACATGTGCTTTGTTATATGCAATACTGGTGTATTATTGTAATTAGTGATTTTATTATAATGTAACATAAGCGTTACTTTGACCAATGTGTACAAGGTGTATTACCAGTTTTGTATGCAATGTTTAGGTCAATTACGTTAAGCTATATTGTAAACTACAACATAGAATTTTTATGACAAATAGTATTTTATAAAAGTAATCATTGTATCGCCCTTTGCGGCTGATATGTTAAGACATGACGTTGTCTCCCTTCATTACAAGCGACGTATCTGCAAAATGATTACCACCCTTTAGAATAAATATAATGTGTCAGATTTGTAGAGTTCATAATGTAATGTATATGGTGTAATGTGTTGTTTGATTTAATTATCAAGTCATTAATGGACAATGTTAAACTATAGGCTAGGTGCAGCGTATCACGCAAACTACCTTTCACATATGTAAACCTGGAGCTAATTGAGATGTTTCGTGGATCATTGCTTTCAGTAGCCTCCGGCCACACTCGTAATCTCTATCCACCAGGAGCCCCTTTGTCTACATTGTGTACCATTAACCTGTACTCATGTATAATTGTCTTTATGTCACATGTGTTTCATTGTATGAGTTTATTGTGAATAAGAAAACATGTGACACCATACTTACTGTAAAATGTTGTTAAGCCATTACCGCAATAATTCTAAAATATGGAATGTTTAAAATTACTTACTGTTTATGAATATCTTAGATTATCAAACTTCCGTTTCATTTATTTTATACATTGCACGGTATATGAGTTCTTATAAATATTATGTTATTATATAATCTTATTGATTGTTTTGTAACGATCACTTGCACTCCAGAAATAAACGGATCACGTCACAATTCTGTGCTCACGGTTTCCTTCTCTATTCAAGGTTCCCCAACAACACAATTCCCCATCTTAAAGTGAGGTCTCTACTTCTCAACAAGGAGAAAGGCCTCACAAAATTATCAACTAGACGAAGTCGTGTATTAAGACCAGAAACCACACGATTTCACATGTACAATGTTCTCGCCCCCCACCCACCCCTCCAACATTTATGTACAAAGTAAGTGACTCCTTGCATGTCATGTAGAAATTCAATGTCCCACTTCCCCTTCCCATATTTTTAAGCATAATATTTTCATATTCTTACGTACCCCCTAGCCATAAATTATGAACGGTCCCTGACACAGTCCGTAACGGCGGTTATCAACACTACTTAAATTATATATTTACGTTACTACAATCTACATATACCTGCTCCAATGGATATGGTAAATTGTGAGATTCATTCGTGTTGCTGTACACTCTCAAACATGAGTTTGTGTATTTTGAGGTGAGACATCTAATACACCTATTTCATCTTCTAAACAAGTACAATTTCTTACCTTCACGTCAACGCCCAGGTATTGGTGGACACAGCTAACGTGAGCGAGTGTTAGGGTTTAATGTTGAAGCAGCTGGTTACATCGGGAAGTATATTCTATTTCAATAGGCGGCGATTGTAGAGCCGGTTTGCTATTGTAATGACGTACCATGTCAGGTGAGGGATGGGCTTCGGGTGCACATTCCATAACCCTATAACCCTTTTTCTCTATACATGACAGCACTATCACGGAAACTATGGACGCGTGTATTAGTGGTACAGTCTAAAACGAATTATGTACGCAGTAGATGCTTTCATCTACGTACTGTATACTCATATACTCAAAGGCAAAAGTTACTGTATCACCCAACAAACGGACTCAGTGTTAAATCTTTACAGTCTGAAAAGTTATGTCTGAATGTTAGTCTGAGTACGATATCACGGCTTGCAGCTCGTTACAGCCAAACAGGTATAACAAATGATCGTCCCCGTACAGGAAGACCTCGAGTCACCACTGCAGCCCAAGATCGGTACATCCGGGTACTACATTTGCGTGATTGTACTGCCACGGGTGAGAGCACAGCAGCAAGGGGGTCTCTAATTTGGAGGATATCCGGTCAAACTGTTCGGAACAGGTTGAGAGAGATTGGACTGAGAGCCAGGAGACCCGACGTCGGGACCGTGCTACGTCGTCACCATCGCGCTCAACGACGGTAGTATCTATGTCGTCATCTGGAGCTAGTATGACGTTACAGTTATTATCACTAACCGTACATATGAACATTTTCATGATCAACGTAGATGGTACTTACATTTACCTATGAGATATATCAATCTACTTAGAAGAAGCCATCATCTAGTATCAAATTATCAATTGGTAATCAGATACTGAGGGAAACAAATAAGGGAACACCGCTGCGGTATTCAAAAAAATTGATGAAACCTGGAAAATATTGAAGGAATGCTTGAATTGTCCTGTGTTCCTATATATCTCAATATATTTTGTCAAGTAATCCACTACATTTATTGGTCTAAACATCTCAATATCACGGTCTGATTATGACAGCATGTGTCCTATGCGTGGATGATTTATGGCATGAATGCGCTTCTACGAGAAACAAAAAAACAACACAGTGGGCTGACAGGCGATATTTTCTCAAAACAACTGCCTCTTCAATCCTACGCAAAATCGGAATCACAAATGATCATTGTGTATTTCACAAATGATCAGTCAAAAATATTCCTAGTGTGGGGATCTACCTTCGGTTGCTGGCGATCTATATCCCGTATTTTATAATGTACTGTCATAATTTGAATCCAGTTTTAGAGATAGATATTAGTTTTATTTCTAGTGTCTGTGATATTCTAGATGGGTTTACTGTCCTTCTTCGACAAGCTTTTAGTGATTTACATGTATTTATGATGAAGTTAAAAACTTGTTTTAGTCACGATGTGGCTGAAATATTGCCGATGTGACTTTAAATTTTAACTCACTTACTCACTCACCGATCCGTTAAATGCAATGTACACTAGAACCGAACAGAGCCAAAATAACAAAGGTTGATGTGATAAGAAGAGAGAGAGGACTGAAATGTATACTACTGGTGAAATTATGAACTGACTGGTACGGGGGATGGATGAAATGTTCTTAGTACAACTAGGTAACCTACGTCACTGACATTATTAAGTTTAATACGTTCAATGATTATTGGTTGCATTTGAATACAATATACAGCCAGGCAACATATATATATCATATAGGTTCATCACATAATGGACTTGGTCGATATAAACACTGTCAGCACATTTGTGGAATGTAGTCTTGTGCCAATAACGTAGGTACTACTACTGCCATGTTCTAGACTTATACCTAGCACCTGATCACTCTCGGGCGTATCTAGTATTGACACTCTGCACCAGTCACCTTTACGGACAAAAACACATATGCCGCCTGAGCCTCTGTGTTGGGTTGTTGCGACAGGGCTACACTTACAGTAGACATCGAAATCGTCATTAATTCCGTTTACGAATGATGAATTGTGTTCATTGAGCCAATGTTCAGTGACGAAGAAGATATCTGTGTTATCCAGCCTTGTACATAGTTCACGGGTTCCATGCATTATACCTCTGATGTTCCAGGCTGCAATACGAAGCATGATAAGTAAGAGGGTAGTATATGACATGTTTGTCATTATCATGAGTTTTCGTTTTCAGCTCCTAATCTGTCGTTTGAGTACCATGCACGGTTTGGCACCCATTCCCTGCAATGCACATTAGTATGCCAGAACGTTTCATCCGATAGTACTACTTTAGCACTTTGCGTTGGGACATTCAGTCGGATAGTGTGAGTTGGGTTTCGTCCTTCCCAATGCTTTAAAAGGTTCATGTAGCTAATTCTTACTCCCCTTTCAGATGAATAGTCCTTGATTGCATCTTTCACAATATCAAAAGGCTGTTCCGCCTTTACGTAAGATAGCACGAGTCTTTTGTGTCGGAAGTGTGAGGCTCCCAAGAAAGCCTTTCGCCACTATTCTTTAAATTTAACCGTCCTTGTATGTTTGTCTTTACTTGAGATTTCACATGTTGCGTCATTATTCACGTCATTGTTTTAATCTGGTCAGGTGACATCTCCTGTTTCAAATGTTGCGGGCTAATTAACGAGTTCTCGCCGTCACTTGGTTGGCTATCTGAAATGCTGATTGCTTTAACAATGAACCGTCGCTTGTGTTGTAATTCTGTTTCTCGGTGTTCTGTTCACGTCATCGTATAGCATGGACTTTTCACCGCTTCAGAGTACAAAAGCTTGTTTCTTGTGTTTATACAGTCAAGCTTCCCATCAATAGCACACGTTCTCTTGTCAATAGCCATTATGTTTTAGTCTATGGGTTGTATCAATGGGTTGTATCACCATGTAGGTGCTTGAACCTGCCACGTGCTCACTCATGATTTGAAATCTGTTCTCGTGCCCAGGAGGTTCAGCTGTCAAAAAACACATCTTCCGTTCTATTTAATTTTTAGACTAACACTTACTGAAACATACTTGTTACAATAATACTCATTTGAAATTAGATTACACATTCTGAAATATATTATGTGTGAGAACACATGACAAGAACATGGCAATTAAGTTTCTTTAAAATCACACTGTACCAATATTCGTGTGATACACACACACACACACACACACACACACACACACACACATAACTTAGCACAATGCTCCTTTGGGTACGTTCTCATACGTTACATATTATATATGACATGATGCAGATCTTTCACTTGGTAACATGTCGATGAACCTGTGTTCCAAACGAGTAAGCATCTGACACCCATGACAGCAAAAGCATTGTATGATTAATTAGTAATTGTTAATTTGTGCCTATATGATAAATGTAGTAGGAAATTGAGACAGAAGGGAAGTACCGACAAATCCTTCAGAAATGTTAACAACTGCAGAGATCTTGAACATGGACACCACAGTGTGGTTATAAAATGATTAGTGATGTTTATGTGTAAGTTATTTAATGCTCACACAATTCCACTGAGAAGATAATTGGGGTGTTTAAGGTGTCCTGATCCCTGGCTAGGATGCTGGCAGCAACATTTGGGTCGCCAGGCTGGAACAAAGATTCCAATATTTATCATTAATGGTCTCACACATGTTCTATAAAGTTATCTGAAGCAACCTTCACAATCCAATGTATTTAACAAACATAACCATTAAAAACAATGATGTTGCCTGTTAAATGTACCCAAGTTCAGCAGGCCCTAGAGCATACTGGTAACCCCACGAATTTGTATCAATGTGTTTTCCTGTTTTAAATCAGTCCCCCATGTATCACATCAGATATGTATGTCAGACAGACCTACATCATTTGAGCAAAGACGGGGCAAACGTACCATCCAATATACCTATATGACCATATCAAACTGTAAATGTTAATTAGGGCTCTCACGAGTACTCGGGTACTCGGGGCCGAGTCGGGTAAAGCAGGACTCGAGTCCAATTGAATGGACTCGAGAACTCGCAGGGGAGATAACTCTAAACGCCTCACGCAATCAAGATGGATGATCGTGAGAAGAAATCCAATGTCTGGACGCATTTTGATCTTGATGTAGTGGCCAAAAAGACGAAATGCCGTCTTTGTGGTGTTTCCCTTAGTTACGCAGGTAGTACAACAAGTTCCATGCGCAAGCATTTTTCCTGTAAGCACCCGCAAATAAGCACTGTCGAGAGAAAACCAGCTCAGCAAACAACGCTGGGGCAGTTTGGTAATTTTGTTAGCAAAAGTCACAAGCCTGTTGACAGGAAATGGTATGAAGGTATTACGCAAAAAGCAATGCTTATGTGCGTTAAAGATATGCGACCAATAAGCCTTGTTAAAGGGGAGGGTTTCAGGGCTTTCTGTGAAGCTTTGAACCCAAATTACCAGGTTCCATGTGCCGCGACAATTCACAATTACCTCATGAAGTCGTATGAAGATTGCAAGGAGAACATAATATCAGTACTCAAAACAGTACCTGCCGTTGCCCTAACTACGGACATGTGGACAAGCGTAGCCACTCACGGCTATATCACTGTCACTGCCCACTACTTATCAGATTAGAATTTAAAGTCATGCATCCTTGTAACACGACGTGTAGAGGAGAGGCACACCGGTGCAAATATTGCCACAAATCTGAAATCAATTCAGGAGGAATTTGGTATCAATACAGTGGCTGGCATTACAACTGACAATGCTTCAAACATGTCAGTTGCAGCAAAAACGGCTGGTTATCCCAATGTCCGCTGTTTTGCCCACACACTGCAACTTGCTGTTCATGATGGGCTCAAGGTACCTGACATTGAAGACATGCTAATGCATGCACGCAAACTTGTGGCCTTCTTTTCAAAGTCGACAATGGCAACACAGTTTCTCGAAAGTCATCAGAAAAAAACTAGGAAAAACCCCAAAACATGTCATCACCGATGTTGTGACGCGTTGGAATTCCGTCTACTTTCTGCTTGACCGGCTGTCCCTCTTGCATGGTGACATTGTTGCATTGCTTTGCGATCCCCTTCTCAAAAAACACAAACACATAGACCTAAAGGACAACCACTGGACGTTGGTGGACCAGCTTGTCAT